CAGGGAAATCGAGGGCGCACCGGAGTGGTTTTGTCGCGGCATACATGCACTACAGCAACATATCTGCCAGGTATCCCACATAGACAGACTTCCAACAACCATTTGGGTTTATTTACTAAATCTGGACCGTGCAAAATCAGGTGCAGCTGTGCATGGCAGCCAATCAGCTTCTGCCTTCAGCTTGTTCAGTTAAGCTTTAACAATAAAACCTGGAAGCTGATTGGTTTCTTTGCAGAGCTGCACCAGATTTTGCACTGCGCAGGTTTAGTAAATAACCTCATTGTATCTATGTCTTCATCATGGGCCCTCTGCGACCCTAAGCCCGGGTTCACACCGATGCGGTGCGGAATTCGCACTGAAAACGCTGTGAATTCTCTTTGTTTTGATGCACCCGAATGTATTTAGCAGATTTAGCCCGGGTTCCCACTGATGCGGTGCGGAATTCACAGCGTTTTCTGTGCGAATTCCACACCGCATCAGAATCGCACCCCGTTCATGTGAACCGCTGCGGGTGTGTATGTTAAGTGAACAACACCACGAAAGCGGTCTACAAAACGCGGTGCGATGTGCAGAATCGGATGGCATAGGTGTGAATATCCATGCAATCCGATTCTAGTGCGGACAAAAAAAAGGGTCCTGCACGTTTTTGGTGCGGTGCGATCAGAGCCATACATAATGTACGGCTCCAATCGCACCACACGCAAATCGCATGTGATTTGCACAGGAATGTCCAAAACACATATGAAAAAAATTCAACAAAGAAAGTCCAAAAGGAAAGAAAGAAGAAGGAAATTACTCTTCAGCCATGTGGATGGGAAAACCGTATTCCTACTGGAGAGTAAGCCCACAATCCCGGTGCTGTAAATCTTTAAAAGGCATGCATCATATGGAATAGGCATCATATGGACAAGGCGGACCCTCACCTTCATGTATGGACCCCGTATAAGAAACAGGTCAAACAGGCATCTAGTGGGGGTGAAATGGTGGCCTCTCCTATTCATATATGGTCACTGTATCCTCCAAATGAACCTTTAATGGTGTAGCTGGCTCTGCGGGAAGAACGCACAACCATATAAAGCAACCAAAGCGCAGCAAGTTTCTTAAAACCTCAAAAAAGTTTATTAAAAACGCCCTCACATGTTACAATAGTAAAAACCGAAGTGTGACAAAATCAATGAAGCTCTGATGTCACCTGGCTCCTCCCCACGCGTATCTACACAAACCATGTGACTTCATCCATAGAGGATAGGCCACTCCCACTAGGAGGGGAGATTCCGGTTTGACCTGTTTCTTATACGGGTCCATACATGAAGGTGAGGGTCCACCTATTCCATATGTTCACCATGGTGATGTACACCTTTAAAAGATTTACAGCACCGGGATTGTGGGCTTACTCTCCAGTAGGAATACGGTTTTCCCATCCACATGGCTGAAGAGTCATTTCCTTCTTTTTTTTTTTTTTTTTCCTTTTGGACTTTCATTGTTGAGTTTTTTTCATATGTGTTTTGGACTTTATGTATGATATGTTATGTTTAAGTGTGTTTTGAGCAGCGCAGCGCTACACATTGGTTTATTATGTCACATGTGATGAACACACATTTTATGTGTTTGCAGCAGCTCGCATTAATTATTGTTTCACTATCTATTTAATTGTTATTTGTCAGCGCACGATTTTTTACCACTTATACTTATATAGCCCCGTCAATTTATGCAGCGCTTTACAGTCCATAACGATCAAGGAGCGTACAATCTAAGGTCCCTCTCTCGGATCCCACCCGGTCCCCATTTATTTATTACAGGTACTTATATAGTGCTGTCAATTTACGCAGCACTTTACATATATATTGAACATTCACATCAGTCCCTAACCCTCAAGGGGCCTACAATCTAAGGTCCCTAACCCTCAAGGGGCATACAATCTAAGGTCCCTAACCCTCAAGGGGCGTACAATCTAAGGTCCCTAACCCTCAAGGGGCATACAATCTAAGGTCCCTAACCCTCAAGGGGTGTACAATCTAAGGTCCCTAACCCTCAAGGGGTGTACAATCTAAGGTCCCTAACCCTCAAGGGGCGTACAATCTAAGGTCCCTAACCCTCAAGGGGTGTACAATCTAAGGTCCCTAACCCTCAAGGGGTGTACAATCTAAGGTCCCTAACCCTCAAGGGGCGTACAATCCAAGGTCCCTAACCCTCAAGGGGTGTACAATCTAAGGTCCCTAACCCTCAAGGGGCGTACAATCTAAGGTCCCTAACCCTCAAGGGGTGTACAATCTAAGGTCCCTAACTCTCAAGGGGCGTACAATCTAAGGTCCCTAACCCTCAAGGGGTGTACAATCTAAGGTCCCTAACCCTCAAGGGGTGTACAATCCAAGGTCCCTAACCCTCAAGGGGCATACAATCCAAGGTCCCTAACCCTCAAGGGGCGTACAATCTAAGGTCCCTCTCTCGGATCCCACCCAGTCCCCATTTATTTATTTATTTCAGGTACTTATATAGCGTCGTCAATTTACGCAGCACTTTACATATATATTGTACATTCCCATCAGTCCCTAACCCTCAAGGGGCGTACAATCTAAGGTCCCTAACTTACATTCATACATACACATACTAGGGACAATTTAGACAGGAGCCAATTCACCTACCAGCATGTATTTGGAGCATGGGAGGAAACCGGAGTACCCAGAGGAAACCCACGCAGGCACAGGGAGAACATGCAAACTCCAGGCAGATGGTGCCGTGGTTATTATTATTATACAGGATGTATATAGCGCCAACAGGTTGCTCAGCGCTTTACAATATAACGGGAGACAATACAGCAACAATACAGTTCAATACAAGAGGGTTAGGAGGGCCCTGATCCTCAGAGCTTACAATCTAGGATTCGAACCAACAACTCTATTGCTGCCAGGCAAAAGTGCTAACCATTTAGTCACTGTGCCTGATTTTTGGCATTTTTAAAGGAAGAAAAATGTATTTTCATTGCCCAATGTCTTGGTTTATTAATCCAGGTTTACATTAATCTAATAGTGGCACAATCTTTTACAGGCTTACTTTTCCATGTTTTTTAGTATATAATCAAAATTACATGTTTGTATATTAGCCACTAGGGGGCAATCGTGAGTGAGATAAAATAATGCATACTGTATTCTTCATATTATTACAAATACATTGCAGGGTTACAAAGTCGGACTAAGTGAGGCAAACGGCTAAACCAATGGGCAAAAATAAATCTTCCTAACAAAATCCGGCATAATTAGCTCTTAAAGAGACCCTGTCAGCAGAGAAGTCATTTGAAAAACCAGTCTTCCTGTTAGGTTATCTGTCCATTTAATGTCTTTTCTGCACAATTTTTACCTATAAAAGCCTCCCTTGTGAAGACATCCAAAATCTGAGAAACTGACGCCGGGTGCCACCATTTTGGATGTGCTTCCAGCAGACGTAGAACTGGAAGTGTGATTCTAGCCAAGCATCTCTAGTATTCTGTTCAGGATGGTCATTCTGCTTATGGTGCTGTGTAGCTCGTATGCAAATCGGCAGTCTGGCCACAACTCATCCAGCTTACAGGAGCACTTAAGGTATGCTAAACGGGCGGACAGTAACATTGATTGAGAGGCCACTTTAGCATGCCAAAGGTGCTATTGAAACTTGATGAATCAGGGCCATTGCTTTTATGTAAAATGCAGATCTGCATTTAGCTTTATAGCTCTACAATGCTAGAATGTTCTCTTCCCCCTGTGTGAAAACCCTTTTAAAGTGTCTCTAAAGGCAGAAGGTTTCTTTACCTTCAAGTATTCTCAGCTTTAGGGTGAAAAACCTTCAAGCAATCTCCAGCCCCCCCATATACCTACCTGAGTCCCATCTTGATCCAGCAATGTGCATGAGAGCAGAGTCTCTCAGCTCTCTCTCTCCTCATTGGCTCAGAGACAGCAGTGGAAGCCTTTGGCTCCTGCAGCTGTCAATCACAGCCAGTAAGGAGGAGGCAGGGGGCGGGCTGAGACACACTCTACATGTCTTACAGACACAGAGCCGGCTCAGGTGTGATCAGGTTTTTTTTTACCTTCATTTATTCTCAGCTTTAGGGTGAAAAACCTTCAAGCAATCCCCAGCCCCCCATATACTTTCCTGAGCCCCATCTCGATCCAGCGATGTGCACAAGAGCAGAGTCTCTCGGTTCTCTCTCTCTCCTCATTGGCTCAGAGACGGCAGCGGAAGCCTTTGGCTCCTGCAGCTGTCAATCACAGTCAGTAAGGAGGAGGCAGGGGGCGGGCTGAGACACATTCTACATGTCTTATGGACACATAGTCATCTCAGGTGCGATCAGGTTTTTTTACCTTCATGTATTCTCTGCATTAGGGTGGAAACCTTCAAGCAACCCACAGCCCCCCATATACTTACCTGAGCCCCATCTTGATCCAGTGATGTGCATGAGGTCAGAGTCTCTCAGCGCTCTCTCTCCTCATTTGCTCAGAGACAGCAGTGGAAGCCTTTGCCTCCTGCGGCTGTCAATCACAGCCAGTAAGCAGGGGGGTGGGCTGAGACATGCTCTACATGTCTTATGGACACAGAGTCATCTCAGGTGCGATCAGGTTTTTTTTACCTTCATGTATTCTCTGCATTAGAAAAACTTTCAAGCAACCCACAGCCCCCCATATACTTACCTGAGCCCCATCTCGGTCTCTCGGCTCTCTCTCTCCTCATTGGCTCAGAGACAGTCAATCACAGCCAGTAGGCGGGCTGAGACACAATCTACATGTCTTACAGACACACAGAGTCAGCTCAGGTGCGATCAGACACAAGTGCCCCTGTAGCAAGTGGCTCGCTATGGGTGCACTTGGCAAGGGGTTGGGGCTAGAAGCTACCCTGTGAGATCCCAGAAGAAGGGAATCAGAGCTGCTCTATTCAAAACCATTACACAGAGCAGGTAAGTATCACATGTTTGTGATTTAAAAAAAAAATTAAGTAAAAACCTCGTCTTTACAATCACTGTAATTTCCTCTCTCTTTCTCCACAGTGCAGACAGGCTCTGGACAGGTTTGCAATGAGGCGCTTCTATGAGGACAAGGTTCTTCCGGTCGCACAGCCATCTCAGAAGCGGTCAGTACCTCTGTGGTCATGTTTTGTTAGAGGGACCAAATTTTCATCCTATGTCCCGGGTGCTAGGCGTGTAGATCACACTGTTAATGACAGATCTGTTCTTTTTCATGCACATATGTCATGGTGGTTCAGCCCCGAGTCCTCGGGGGGAATGCCAAGCTGGCCCCTAAAGTTGGTATTGAGAAAAATTTTCAGAATGGTTTTAAAATGTCAGTACTAGAATTCTGGCTCTAAAGACAGAAGTGTCCGGTACAAATAGATTGCTCGAAATGAAAAGAAGAATTTTATTGAAGAGAATAAAGCCAACATGTTTCAGGGGGAAGGGCCTCCCCTACTTCAAGGCTTATTATTTATTTATTTATTTCAGGTACTTATATATCGCCATCAATTTACGCAGCACTTTACATATATATTGTACATTCACATCAGTCCCTGACCCTCAAGGGGGTCCCTAAGGTCCCTAACTCACATTCATACATACACATACTAGGGACAATTTAGACAGGAGCCAATTAACCTACCAGCATGTCTTTATGGTGTGGGAGGAAACTGGAGTACCCAGAGGAAACCCACGCAGGCACAGGGAAAACATGCAAACTCCAGGCAGGTGGTGCCGTGGTTGGGATTTGAACCAATGACCCGAGTACTGCCAGGCGGAAGTGCTTACCCGTTAGCCACTGTGCTGCCCTCATACACTGCCCTCAGCTTATGCATACAGTTTGTAGTTCATTCCAGATTGAAATGCCTACTTTGAGGCTGAAAACTGAGATATCCCCGTGAGATCACTTCTCTTCCCAAGGTGGATACATTGGCACCTCAGTTTTCAGCCTCCAAGTAGACATCTCAAAGAATCGCTTCCAGAATTCGGTACAAATCTTATGGTCAAGTCCTGTAGAAGGGAGATTTCCTTCCCCCCGAAACATGTTGGCTGTATTTTATTCAGTAAACCTTTTTCATATAGATTTTTATGGCATATGTCTGCTTATTCCAGGCACTCTAATGGTAGAATTATAATAAGAATAGCTCCAAAAATATCTCAGTGATAAAATTATGGGAATATAAACAATAGGTTTGCGCGCTGTGAAACATAGGTTTGCGCTCATATACTCCAAATAAATCTCATACCATCTACAGTGCTAAATACTTCATAATTTTGTATGGCATATGCCTGCTTATTCCAGGCACTCATAAAAACAAAAAAAACATAAAAAAATAAATAATATGTGTCAAATAAAGTCCAAAACATCAGTGATTAAATATTCCTAATCTTTTTTTTTTGTATTTAACAAGAATAAATTTCCAAAATTCAGTGTCAAATAATTCCACCGTGACAAAATCCACCACCAGATAAATTGAATGAACTCACCGGAGCAATATGCTGATTAAATTATAAACCAGCATAAGCGCTTTTTGCTCTTGGAGCAATGCTCTGCAGGAAAATCGTCAGCAATATTCAAATGGTCTGGGACCAATACTCTGCAGGAGGACACTCAGCAAAAGATGGAATCTCACTTTTTTGGTCACCTCCTCATCATATGATCATAGCAGTACTCGGGAATCAAGAGAAGAAAGCTCATGGTGCAGTATCATTAAAACATTATTTTTATTAAAACAATATATGCCAGTGCACTCACAAACAAGGTGTCCCAGCCGACGCCAGCAAAAACAGCGTTCTTGTCAGGGACCGCCGCGGCGCCTCCCCCGGCGCACGCGCATGAGTGGCGGCTCACGCCGGGACACAAGCACCAGGTCCCCGGCGGGCCGTGGCTGACAGGATGCCGTGCATGCGCAGTAGGAGCTGCGGGTGCGCCTCGGGTGGCCAATGACAGCCCGGGGGTGCGTCCTGGGCGGCCAATGACAGTGCAGGGCGCAATATTTAAAGATGCCCTGCACTGTCACAGATTGCCGCAAGGTCTATCTGTGTTCCTGAACCTGTGTGTATTTGACCCTGATTGCCCTGACTACGCTGCCTTTCTCCTGTGGTTTGCCTCCTGACTACCTGTGTTTGACCCTGATTGTCCTGACTACGCTGCCTTCTCCTGTATTTGACCCGGATTGTCCTGACTACGCTGCCTTCTCCTGTATTTGACCCGGATTGTCCTGACTACACGGCCTTCTCCTGTGTTTGACCTGATTGGATTGCCTTCTCCTGACTGACACGGGCCTTCTACGCTGCCTTCTCCTGTTTGACCCGGATTGTCCTGACTACTGCCTTGCCTTCTCCTGTGTTTGTATTTGACCCGGATTGTCCTGACTACGCTGCCTTCTCCTGTATTTGACCCGGATTGTCCTGACTACGCTGCCTTCTCCTGTGTTTGACCCGGATTGTCCTGACTACGCTGCCTTCTCCTGTTTGTGATTTGACCCGGATTGTCCTGACTACGCTGCCTTCTCCTGTATTTGACCCGGATTGTCCTGACTACGCTGCCTTCTCCTGTGTTTGACCCGGATTGTCCTGACTACGCTGCCTTCTCCTGTATTTGACCCGGATTGTCCTGACTACGCTGCCTTCTCTCCTGTATTTGACCCGGATTGTCCTGACTACGCTGCCTTCTCCTGTGTTTGACCCGGATTGTCCTGACTACGCTGCCTTCTCCTGTGTTTGACCCGGATTGCCCTGACTACTCTGCCTTCTCCCCTCCTGACTCCCGGTTTGTTTGACCTATCTGCGGACTGACTTATCCCGCTGACCCTGCGTGTGACCTGACTACTCTCCGCCTGCCGATTCTGTATCTCGCTAACCCCACGGGACCACTGCTCGTAATCCATCCTGCTAGGTCCTGCCGGCCTCCTCACATCTGGCTCTCCCGGTACCTATATATCCCCGGAGGTTCCCTCTGCCACTGGTGGGCCTGCTCAGAGGTCGTGACCTGGTCCTGGTCTGTTACAAGTCCATCCCCACCATCAGGGGCCCTGGTGAAAGCACAGACCGGGACTTAGACTTCACGCTTTGGGTAGGTCTGTCAAGTGGGCAGCCAGAGGCACCACCTGGCGGATCATAACAGTTCTAGTGTAAAAGACGAGCCCAGCTTCCTCCGGCATGCACAACGCCGACAGCCTCGGGAACGTCGTGACGTCACATCCACAGGCTCCGGTGAGTTCATTCAATTGATCTGGTGGTGGTTTTTGTCACGGTGGAATTATTTGAACACTGAATTTTGGAAATTTACTCTAATGGTCTACCTAAAAGTAGAAACATATATAAATAGTGTCGCGCTAACTCATGTATAAATAATAGTCCATAAAACGTTCAAATGTGATAGTTCAATCAAAATATGAAATGTATAAAGTGCTTGAATGGTGAAAAATCAATACGATGTGCTCCGGACAGATGAAGCCTTTTCAAAAAAACACAGCGCTCCACCTTGGCTTAGTGTTCCTCCTCCTAAAAATATATGGATGGCCGCTCACCTCCTACCGTGGACCTATACATTATTACATCATACAAAATAGTGCAGCGCTATGGGTATGATGTAGGTCAAAGCAAGACTAAAAATATCTAAACGCACAATAGCACATGTCAGTTAAAACAAGACTAGAAAATCAAAATGTCTAAACGCATATTATCACACGCAATAAGTCAAGCCTCTGCCTCTGAAGAAGTGCGTGCGCACGAAACGCGTCAGCAGGGGCCAAGACGCCGTGACGTTAAGCCGCCGGTGCCACGAGGAGGCCCGGTGGCCATCTTGCTTTTTGGACGTTATTTATTCATAGCTCCTGCTGGATCCAACACCTTCAAGGATTTTGGAGAAGGGAGATCCTACACCCAGGAGACCTACATCCATCTATCTCTTAAGAGGACCTCCAGCCTATTGAATCTTCTTCTTACCACCCTGAGGGTTCCCACCATCACTACCCACCTAGAGGGAGGATTCATTCCAGGTGTCCCTGACCAGACCAATCATCCAGAGGGAGGACAACTTCCCCTATTCCAGACCAGATCCTGAAGGAAGCTTCTGTGCATTTTTGTTCAATGCACATTTGTATTGTGCATCTGGTGAGTGCGCAATCCCCCTATATTACTTGGAACAACACCACGGTTTTATAAGAAAAGCACTTTATAAGACTCTAATGAAAACACGGAATTATTTTTATATAATTTTTTTCTTGCCTTGACTTATTGCATGTGATATTATGCGTTTAGACATTTTGATTTTTTAGTCTTGTTTTAACCGACATGTGCTATTGTGCCTTTAGATATTTTTAGTCTTGCTTTGACCTACATCATACCCATAGCGCTGCACTCTTTGTTATGAAGTTTTATTAGGGTTTTCACTTGGTTACCTTGAGTGTCCAGCAGCTTACCCTTCAAGAGCGCTCACTTTTATACCATTTTTTTATATATACATTATTATAGGTCAACCAAGCATGGTAATTCCATCCAAGATGCTCTAGATGGCAGCAGAGAGCTGATGACAGGCACCCCTTCAAGGACTCAGCTTAAAGCGGAGCTCCACCCAAAAGGGGAAGTTCCGCTTTAAGGACTGCTCCCCCACTTCACATAAGGATTGGCATGTTTGGGGGGCAGGGGCTGGTACCCGAATTTGACAGGTACCCACTCCCACTTCCAGTCCGATCGCCTAGGTCGGGGGTAGGCAACCTGCAGCTCTTCAGCTGTTGCAGGACTACAAGTTCCATCATGCCTCTGCAAGTCACAGCTGTGTAACTGTCAGTTTTGTAATGTTGCAACGCCTCATGGGAAATGTAGTTCCACAACAGCTAGAGAGCCGCAGGTTGCCTACCCCTGGCCTAGGCGATCGGAAATGGAAGTTTTTCTCCCCCCTCCCTGTAGTCTTTTGGGACACGTGACGGGTCCCAGAAGACTACAGGACCATTCATGAAGCGCAGCGCCACTCGCGCATGCGCAGTGGGCACCCAACTGTGAAGCCGCAAGCTGTCACAGCCAGGTGCCCACACTGAAGATGCTGGCCTCCTGGAATACAGGACGGCCGGTGCAACGGTCTGCGGGGGACACACCACGGGACCGAGGGACAGGTAAGTGGCTGTATTTTGAAAGTCAGCCGCTACAGTTTTTGTAGCTTCTGACTTTTATTTTTCTGACAGGTGAGCGGAACGCTTTACCTCCACATACAGAAAGAACATCTCCCATAGTGTAATACTGCTTATTGTCACATAAAATGTTCGAGTGTCACTCACGATAGAAGCAGCAACAGATCGATTTTGAATTTAAACCTCCCGCTCCGTTAAAAAGCCAGCAATGATGTCACTAGGCTCTGCCCCACGCGTTACGTCACCAACCACGTGGCTTCGTCAGGGAAAACGCCTAAAAGTAGATCATCTGCTGAGTGGTCTGGTCACCGCTATCAGAGCAGCAGCCTAAGCCCACATTGTAGGTCGTCTCTCCTCATACTTCTAGTGTCGCCTCCACCAAGGAGAAGTAATCTTCTGGATCTATGAACTGTGCCCTCCCTACCATACACACACCGGGTAGTGGCCAATCATGGCTGTCCTACCGTAATGTGTACAAATCAGGGTTCAGAGTCAGCCCTAAGTGACATTTCAGTGTTTCCTGGATGCTAGACAGATGAACCCCTGACAGTCTCTTCTATCTCATGGGGGATATATTGGTAAAGTATTTGCACCGAGTTCCCGGGTCTTTACACTTGCTGTGCCCTTTATGAGGGGTTCCCACCATCCCTGTGCTGAGTTCCCAAGTCTACACACCTGCTGCACCCATTATGATGGGCTCCTACCGTCCCTGCCCTGAGCTTGCAAGTCTGAACACCTGCTGTGCCCATTATGAGGGGTTCCCACCATCCCTGTGCTGAGTTCCTGGATCTGTACACCTGCTGTGCCCATTATGAGGGGTTCCCACCATCCCTGCGTGCAGTTCCTGGGTCTCTACACTTGCAGTGGCCATTATAAGGGGTTCCCTCGGGTTCCCACCATCCCTGTGCTGAGTTCCCAGGTCTCTACACCTGCTAGTTTGGTCTGATTGGACAGGATTGTGATTTTTCATGGAGGTTTTAGGTTAGGGTGTGGGTTTAATGTTTAGAGGATGGCCGATTTTCTATGAGGAGTGCCCCCCCCTTGTCCTCTGTGACCACCTTAAAGTGAATAACTCTCCACCCGTAGTTCTGTATAACAGGGGCATGCGACCCCATCGTTGTGCTGCACTCCCAAAGAAGGAACGGCATCGCAACGCCTCGATATGTAATGAGAAAATGTAAAAGCTGACGGTACATTAACACGCCATTCACATCTGATCACAGACATGTCAAATACACGCAAAAGCCTTACAGAGTGCATTCCCTTTAAATCCTGTTTCTAGGATGTATGGGTAATCATGGCCATTAGAGGGCAGTATTCTATTACAGTTTTCCTATAGGCCTTGTTCTCAGCTGAAATGCCCCCCCCCCCCCCCCCCCCCTCCCCCCACCTATAGTGTTTTTGTGGGATAAATCCATATTTGAAAGTCAAGGCCTGCAGGTATAAAATCACAATGATATAATCAATGAATTATATGTGGGGACCTGAGCCAAGCCATACACTGCAGCTCTCCATAGAACAGGACAGACAGGTACACTTTGCTCGTAGGATGGTGATTTCTAGGCAGGGTTTGTAAATGGATTTATATTAAAGGTGAACTCCGAGCACATAGAATAATCTCACACCTGAACACAGACCTGTATGCATTGATACATCTTTACATTTTTTTTTTTAACTCAAACCAGCTGTAGTGTCCCTTTAACAAGGTCTTTACGTCCATTGGGTGGGAAGGACAGGCCAAGCATATGAGCACTGTAATTGGCTGGAACAGCGGTCATATGATCGGGAGCCGGTCCCACCAGACAGGGCCAGTGCAAAACTATTTTGCACCCTAGGCAAAACCAGCTACTTGCAACTCCCCCCCCCCCCCCCCCCCTCCCCCACAAAACCGAAAACTTTTAGTTCTCTCCCGTAGCAAACATCCTCTTTCCACTCAAGTTTTCCACCCTATCACAAATCACCTCTTCTAGCACAAAACCCCCTAAATCCCTCCTCCAAATTACCCTTCCAGCACAAATCCTTCATCTCCACACAAATCCCTCCTCCTAGCACAAATCCCTCCTCCTAGCACAAATCCCCCCTCCTAGCACAAATCCCCCCCTCCTAGCACAACCCATCCCAATCCCCATTTTAGCACAATTCTCCCCCTCCTAACTCAAATACCCCCCCCCCACCCCCCCCAATCCTCTCTCCTAGCACAAATTCTCCCCCAAATCCCCCCTCCTAGCACAACCCCTCCCCAATCGCCCCTCCTAACACAAATTCCCCCTCTAATCTCCCTCCTAGCACAGCCCCCTCCAAATTACCCTCCGAGCACAAATCCTTCCTCCCCACCCAAATCCCCCCTCCTAGTACTAATCCCCCCTCCTAGCACAACCCCTCCCCAAACACCCCCTCCTAACACAAATTCCCCCAATCCCCTCTCCTAGCACAAATTTCCCTTCCCAATCCCCCCTCCTAACACAAATTTCCCCCAATCCCTTCTCCTAGTGCAAATTCCCACCCAAATCTCCCTCCTAGCACAACTCCTTCCAAATTACCCTTCCAGCACAAATCCTTCCTCCCCACCCAAATCCCCCCTCCTAGCACTAATACCCCTTCCTAGCACATTCCTTCCCAATCTCCATTTTGGCACAATTCTCCCCCTCCCATTCCTAGCACAAATCCTCCCCCCCATCCCTTCTCCTAGCACAAATTCCCCCAAAATCCCCCCCCCCTCCCCAGCACAACCCTTCCCAATCCCCATTTTAGCACAGTTCTCCCCCTCCTAAAACAAATCCTCCCCTCCCATCCCCCCTCCTAGCACAACCCCTCCCCAATCCCCCATCCTAACACAAGTTCCCCCCAATCCCCTCTCCTAGTGCAAATTTCCCCCCCCCCCCCCCCCAAATCTCCTTCCTAGTACAACCCCCCCATCCCCTCTCTTAGCACAAAATCCTCCCTCCATACACAAATTCCCCCCATCCCCTCTCCTAGTGCAAGGTCCCCCCAAATCTCCATCCTAGCAGCACAACCCCCCCCCCCATCCCCTCTCCTAGCACAAAATCCCCCCTCCATATACAAATTCACCCCCAAACCCCTCACATAGTGCAAATCCCCCCCCCCCCCCAAATCCCCCTCCTAGCTCAACCCCCCCCCCCCCCCATCCCCCCTCCTAGTACAAATTTCCCCCAATCCCCTCTCCTAAGATATCCCCCCCCCCCCCCCAATCCCCCTCTTAGCACAAATCCCCCCTTCCAGCAACAATCCACTTCCTTCAATCCCCCCCCCCCCGAAAAAATTCCCCCAAATCCCTCCTCTAGCTAAAACCTCTCCGGATTACCCTTCCCAGCATAAAATCCTCCCACTTTACCCAACTCCCCCACCCCCACCTGCACAAATCCCTCCTTTGCAGTCTTCACTGCTCCAGGCTGCTCTCTCCTTGTGACAGTCATGAGTGTGGGGATGGGGGAAGGCTGTCAGTGGCCAGGCACTGTGTCCCTGGAATGACTGGTCTGGGGGGTGGGGCGACACAACTGAAATGTGGAGGGGCCCAGCACCCCCCTAGACCTGGCCATGGCAGTGAGTAGGGAAACCAGCAGTGATGGCTGCACCCTAGGCGGCAGTGCACCCTAGGCGGCTGCCTAGTTCGCCTAGTCGTAGCACGTGCCCTGCCGCCAGAGTAGAGATTGAGAGCTGTCTTTGACAGCTCAGTCACTGTGCTGGGAGCACAGCATGTGATTGGTAAAGCCGGCCTTCTTTTTCACCACACGAGCGTTATGTGGGAGGCAAGAGGTTAAGACGCAAGCAGTGTAAGTACCTGAATGTGACCTGGTTCCCGCCTCTTGCAATTCACTACAGCAGAGCTCAAACTAGGGAAGGGAGAAGCAGCACAATGAGCCAGTCAATTGTTCTGCAGCACAAGGAGCATGCTGCTTGGAGAAGAGATCAAAGTGACAACGAAATAAGCTGATCAGTGCACTGCTTCTCCTTTCACTGTCCAATCACAGGTTGGGGAGGAGGGGGGGAAAAAAGACCTGCACTGCTGCAGAGAAAAGTCAGTTGTGTGCTGTACAGCAGAACTGTGGAAATTTCAGACCTGGATGGATAAAAAGACAAATCTTTTAGCAGGTCCTACAGCGCCCCTGTATGCATGTAATCAGATTTTACCTGTGAAGCCTGCAGATTGTTGGATTTAGCCGGCGGTATATTTTTGTCCTCCTGAAATGTGTGTCTTCCTCCGCTCTCCTCAGGTATATACATTATTTCAGCGGCCTGTTGTCCGGAGCCATTAAGATGAATAACAAGCCCTTGTTCCTCCACCACGTCATCATGCATGGCATTCCCAACTTCGAGTCCAAAGGAGGTAAGTCTCATCATTCAGCAATGAGAACAAATGCCTCTGTCATATCTTCCTCTGGATGTCTCTAGCCAAGGCCTTTTCCTCAGTTTAGGTATGGTGGGGGAAGTGTAGACCCATGGAAAGTTGTTTTTGTTTTTTTTTGTTATATATAGTTACATTGTTGCAGCTTTGGTCAATGTAACCATGTAAATACCATACCTGTGTGAAGGGGCGGACTGACCATTTGGGAACTTGGGCACTGCCCGAGGGCCCGGGGTCAGTAGGGGGCCCCATGAGATGCCCCTGGTACCTTTCATAGGCTTTTTTGGGTGTGGTTTCAATGTGGGCGAGGACACAGGGGCCCCATGATCCCCTATTGCCCGGGGGCCCCATGAGTTGTCCGTCCGCCCGCCCCTGCCTGTGGGATTCCTCTAGAACAGTGGTTCTCAACCTGTGGGTCGTGACCCCTTTGGGGGTCCGAACGACCCTTTCACAGGGGTCCCCTAAGACCATCAGAAAACACATATTTCTGATGTGTAAAGAGCAGCTACTGTGTAGAAAGCAGCTGCTGTGTTGAAAGCAGCAGTATTGGAGGTAAAAGGACACTTCATGAATTATAATTACTGGGTAAATAATTTTATGGTTGGGGGTCACCACAACATGAGGAACTGTATTAAAGGGTCGCGGCATTAGGAAGGTTGAGAACCACTGCTCTAGAAGCTGGAAATCACTGAAGTAGACTTCACTACTCATGTGATCTCCATTAGCTTCCGGGACCCAAGCTGAGCGGCTGCCCTGCTGCATTGTGAGCACAAGAGGTTGGCCACTCGACACAGGCACCATTCAGAGAACGCTTGGACTATTCTGAATGAATGTAAGGTGTTCTCTGATTGGACGAGGTGGAGAGGCAGATGGTGACATCACACTCTCCACCTCATCCAGTCGGGGAACACTTTGCATTCATTGTAAAAAAGCAAAGTGTTCTCTGAATGTCGCCAATGCTGAGTGGGTGACCTCCTGTGTTCACTAAGCAGTGGGGCAGCCGCTCCACATGGGACCTGGAAGTTAGTGCCTGAAGTGGCATTGATTTCTTATAGTGATTTTCCACTTCCATGGGGATTCCACATGTCTGGTATATGCCTAGTTACATTGGTCCAAGCTGGGTCAGTGTAACTGTGTAAAAAGGTCCATACCTGGGATTCTTAGGTTTGTGACATCTCCAGTGACGTCTAACGCAGGGTTCCTCCACAGGTTGCTGGAGGTTCCTTGAGGAATGGCAACCTCTGCCTCTCAGGTTTCCACTGACACCATTGGTTTTTTTAGCTATCTGTAAGGGGGGCATTCTTCCCACTGCCCCCCTTATGTAAGGGGCATTCTTCCCACTTACCCCCCCATGTAAGTGGCATTCTTCCCACTGACCCCCCCATGTAAGGGGCATTCTTCCCACTGACCCCCCATGTAAGGGGCATTCTTCCCACTGACCCCCCAATGTAAGGGGCATTCTTCCCACTGACCCCCCATGTAAGGGCATTCTTCCCACTGCCCCCCCCCCCATGTAAGGGGCATTCTTCCCACTGACCCCCCACGTAAGGGGCATCCTTCCCACTGACCCCCCCATGTAAGGGGCATTCTTCCCACTGACCCCCCCATGTAAGGGACTGTCTTCCCACTGACCCCCCCATGTAAGGGGCATTCTTCCCACTGACCCCCCCATGTAAGGGGCATTCTTCCCACTGACTACCAATGTAAGGGGCATTCTTCTCACTGACCACAGGTGTAAGGAACATTCTTCCCACTGACCCCCAATGTAAGGAGCATTCTTCCCACTGACCCCCCAATGTAAGGGGCATTCTTCCCACTTACCCCCCCATGTAAGTGGCATTCTTCCCACTGACCCCCCCATGTAAGGGGCATTCTTCCCACTGACCCCCCATGTAAGGGGCATTCTTCCCACTGACCCCCCAATGTAAGGGGCATTCTTCCCACTGACCCCCTATGTAAGGGGCATTCTTCCCACTGCCCCCCCCCCATGTAAGGGGCATTCTTCCCACTGACCCCCCCACGTAAGGGCATCCTTCCCACTGACCCCCCCATGTAAGGGGCATTCTTCCCACTGACCCCCCCCATGTAAGGGACTGTTTTCCCACTGACCCCCCCATGTAAGGGGCATTCTTCCCACTGACCCCCCCCATGTAGGGGCATTCTTCCCACTGAGACCCCCCCATGTAAGGGCATTCTTCCCACTGACTACCAATGTAAGGGGCATTCTTCTCACTGACCACCAATGTAAGGAGCATTCTTCCCACTGACCCCCAATGTAAGGGACATTCTTCCCACTGACCCCCAATGTAAGGGACATTCTTCCCACTGATGTAAGGAGCATTCTTCCACTGACCACCAATGTAAGGAGCATTCTTCCCACTGACCCCCCATGTAAGGAACATTCTTCCCACTGATCACCAATGTAAGGAGCATTCTTCCCACTGACCCCCAATGTAAGGGACATTCTTCCCACTGACCCCCAATGTAAGGGACATTCTTCCCACTGACCACCAATGTAAGGAGCATTCTTCCCACTCCCCCCATGTAAGGGGCATTCTTCCCACTGACCCCCAATGTAAGGGACATTCTTCCCACTGACCACCAATGTAAGGAGCATTCTTCCCACTGACCCCCCCATGTAAGGGGCATTCTTCCCACTGACCCCCCCATGTAAGGGGCATTCTTCCCACTGACTACCAATGTAAGGGGCATTCTTCTCACTGACCACCAATGTAAGGAGCATTCTTCCCACTGACCCCCAATGTAAGGGACATTCTTCCCACTGACCCCCATGTAAGGGACATTCTTCCCACTGATGTAAGGAGCATTCTTCCCACTGACCACCAATGTAAGGAGCATTCTTCCCACTGACCCCCCATGTAAGGAACATTCTTTCCCACTGATCACCAATGTAAGGAGCATTCTTCCCACTGACCCCCAATGTAAGGGACATTCTTCCCACTGACCCCCAATGTAAGGGACATTCTTCTTCCCCCCTGACCACCAATGTAAGGAGCATTCTTCCCACTGACCCCCCATGTAAGGGGGCATTCTTCCCACTGACCCCCAATGTAAGGGACATTCTTCCCACTGACCACCAATGTAAGGAGCATTCTTCCCACTGACCCCCCATGTAAGGGGCATTCTTCCCACTGACCCCCAATGTAAGGGACATTCTCCTCAATTACCACCAATGTAAGGACATTCTTCCCACTGACCACCAATGTCCGGAGCATTCTTACCACTGCCCCCCCCCCCATGTAAGGGGCATTCTTACCACTGCCCCCCCCCATGTAAGGGGCATTCTTCCCACTGACCCCCCCACGTAAGGGGCATCCTTCCCACTGACCCCCCCATGTAAGGGACTGTCTTCCCACTGACCCCCCCCATGTAAGGGACTGTCTTCCCACTGACCCCCCCATGTAAGGGACTGTCTTCCCACTGACCCCCCATGTAAGGGGCATTCTTCCCACTGACCCCCCCATGTAAGGGGCATTCTTCTCACTGACTACCAATGTAAGGGGCATTCTCTTCTCACTGACTACCAGTGTAAGGGGCATTCTTCCCACTGACCACCAATGTAAGGAGCGTTCTTCCCACTGACCCCCAATGTAAGGGACATTCTTCCCACTGACCACCAATGTAAGGGACATTCTTCCCACTGACCACCAATGTAAGGGGCATTCTTCCCACTGACCACCAATGTAAGGGGCATTCTTCCCACTGACCACCAATGTAAGGGACATTCTTTCCACTGACCCCCAATGTAAGGGGCAGTCTTCCCACTGACCTCCAGTGTAAGGAGCATTCTTCCCACTGACCCCCAGTGTAAGGAGCATTCTTCCCACTGACCTCCAGTGTAAGGAGCATTCTTCCCACTGACCACCAACGTAAGGAGCATTCTTCCCACTGACCACCAACGTAAGGAGCATTCTTCCCACTGACCTCCAACGTAAGGAGCATTCTTCCCACTGACCCCAATGTAAGGAGCATTCTTCCCATGGACCATCACACTAATGTATCATGAGTTGTAGATATAGTCCTTTCAGCAGGGGTTCCCTGAGACCGGAAAGATATTTCAAGGGTTCCTTTTGTGTTTAAAAGGGTGAGAGAGGCTTTTCTGGATGGTCATAAAATATACAGCATTATGGCCACTAAATGGTGCCGATGATAATAGGAAATAAATATATTCAACAAACTACAGGAACTATTCGCTTGAGACATTCACAGAACATTTTTTAATACAAATAAACACAAAGTCATTACAACTCTGCAAGTAAAATGTTATTTTCTTTCTTTGTACTTTGTCACCCGAGTTATTTATGCATCCATTCTTTCTGCTGGAGAGCTGACAATCTAACGTTTGTATATGTTTTGGGAGCTTAACCACTTCCAGTCCGGACACTTTCCCCCCCTTCCAGTCCGGACACTTTCACCCCCCTTCCAGTCAGGACACTTTTACCCCCTTCCAGTCCGGACACTTTCACCCCCTTCCAGTCCGGACACTTTCCCCCCCTTCCAGTCCGGACACTTTCACCCCCTTCCAGTCCGGACACTTTCCCCCCCTTCCAGTCCGGACACTTTCACCCCCTTCCAGTCCGGACACTTTCACCCCCTTCCAGTCCGGACACTTTCCCCCCCTTCCAGTCCGGACACTTTCACCCCCTTCCAGTCCGGACACTTTCACCCCCTTCCAGTCCGGACACTTTCACCCCCTTCCAGTCCGGACACTTTCCCCCCCTTCCAGTCCGGACACTTTCCCCCCCTTCCAGTCCGGACACTTTCCCCCCCTTCCAGTCCGGACACTTTCCCCCCCTTCCAGTCCGGACACTTTTACCCCTTTCCTGTCCAGGCCAATTTTCAGCTTTCAGCGCTATCAGACTTTGAATGACAATTGCGCGGTCATGCAACACTGTACCCGTAAGAATTTTTTAGCATTTTTTTTGAGACAGATAAAGCTTTATTTTGGTAGTATTTAATCGCCACTGGCATGTTTATTTTTTTGCTATATAAGCGAAGAAAAAAGTCCCAAAAAATGTTTCAAAAGTTTTTTCTTATAAAATAAATAATCTTTCTTCATAAATCTTGTCCAAAATGTATTCAGTTTTCTTTTTAGTAAAAAAAAAAAAAAAAACCCAAATTAGTTTTTATAACCAAAAATGTGTTACTTTTTTTTTTTAGATTATTATTTTTTTTTTTTTTTACATACTGTCACCCTAGTAGTACAGTGTCACCATAGTGACACTGTACTACATGTGGGGGGTGATGAAGATTTTTTCTTTTTTTTTTTTTTTTTACACTGATTGCTTTTACACCCATAAAGGCTGTAAAAGCAATCATTTCTCCTTCTCTCTGGCTGCATTCTTGCAGCCATTGAGAAATACTGTGTGAGCTGTGATTGGTCACAGCTTGTCACATGGTACAAGGCTGTTGTGAATAGCCCTGTACCATGTGACCTCTGTGATCATTCACAGATTTCACACGTAGTAAGCAATGATGTCAGAAGTGACATCTTGCTTACTACTGTGCATGTGATCACTGATTGGCCAGTCAGTGATCACATGATCGGGACCTCGCACAGAGGTCCTGTACAGCGATCGGTGTACAGACACAGCGGGCACCGAATCGCGGTGCTGCGCGCTCCCTGGGAACGTGCACAAGCAGGGAAGCGAGGAGGACGTTTATAAATGGCCACCCGACCCTGCACTGCCACCGTCCGGCCATTTATATACATGGGCTGGATGGGAAGTGGTTAAAGCTTGGCCTTCATTGGGGCTATTAGTCTTGTGACCCGTACCGCCATCACCCCACCCCATTTTAGCAGCAGTTGTCCTGTGATCTCTCATCTGTTTCCTTTGCCATCCCCAGGTTGTCGCCCATTTCTGAAGATCTACCAAGCTATGCAGCCTGTCTATACGTCTGGAATATAGTAAGAAATTATTCTTTTTTTTTTGTGTTTGTGGGGGCATGGAGCATATTTCTGATTTGTAATAAAATTCCATTGTAAACATTTTATTTTTAGTTTTGAAACAAGTAAAAGCTGAGCTGTCATTGTGAGGTAGACTTAATGTGTCACTGAACCCACAACAGTACAATCAGTCTGTAGATGCAGTAAAGCATGTTTGTTATACTCACTGTGGGACCTAAGGGGTTAATCCTCCACGTTGTGTAAAAAGGCTGTTTGATCCAGTCCTACCCTTTCTCTGATCCTCCCCTTTCTACTGTCTCCAATCATCTGCTGATAGAACAGAGCCTTGGGGGCAAGCTGCACATGCTCAGTTTGGTGTGTATTGCTATAGTTTTTTTGTGATCAGCACAGGGTCAATCAGCACTGTCTGGACAGAGGGTCAGGGGTTATTCAGCCTCATAGGACAGTCAGAGGAGAATGGAAACTCCTGCTACAAGCTTTAACCAGTGCTTGGCTAGACACTGATAGAAGTCACAAGACTGCTATATACCGCTGACAAGAAAAGGTATTTAGCAATTTATATTTACTAAAATAATTGCATTTCCATGTTCTGTGGGAGACCAAATATAGTGAATGCAGGGTCCGGGGAGAGCGGATATAGTGAATGCAGGATCCTGGGAGAGTGGATATAGTGAATGCAGGGTCCAGGGAGAGCAGATATAGTGAATGCAGGGTCCGGGGAGAGCGGATATAGTGGATGCGGGGTCCGGGGAGAGCGGATATAGTGAATGCAGGGTCCGGGGAGACCAGATATAGTGAATGCGGGGTCTGGGGAGACCAGATATAGTGAATGCAGAGTCCGGGGAGAGCGGATATAGTGAATGCAGGGTGCGGGGGGACCAGAAATTGTGAATGCGGGGTCCGGGGGGACCAGATATAGTGAATGCAGGGTCCAGGGAAAGCAGATATAGTGAATGCAGGGTCCAGGGAGAGCAGATATAGCAAATGCTGGGTCGGGGAGACCAGATATAGTTAATGCAGGGTCCGGGGAGACCAGATATAGTGAATGCAGGGTCCGGGGAGACCAGATATAGTGAATGCGGGGTCCGGGGAAACCGGATATAGTGAATGCGGGGTCCGGGGAGAGCGGATATGGTGAATGCAGGGTCCGGGGAGAGCAGATATAGTGAATGCAGGGTCCGGGGAGAGCGGAGTATAGTCCGGGGAATGCGGATATAGTGAATGCAGGGTCCGGGGAGAGCGGATATAGTGAATGCAGGGTCCCGGGGAGAGCGGATATAGTGAATGCAGGGTCCGGGGAGAGCGGATATAGTGAATGCAGGGTCCGGGGAGAGTGGATATAGTGAATGCAGGGTCCGGGGAGAGTCCGGGGAGGATATAGTGAATGCAGGGTCCGGGGAGAGTGGATATAGTGAATGCAGGGTCCGGGGAGAGTGGATATAGTGAATGCAGGGTCCGGGGAGACCAGATATAGTGAATGCAGGGTTCGGGGAGAGCGGATATAGTGAATGCAGGGTCCGGGAGAGAGCGGATATAGTGAATGCAGGGTCCGGGGAGACCAGATATAGTGAATGCAGGGTCCGGGGAGACCAGATATAGTGAATGCAGGGTCCGGGGAGACCAGATATAGTGAGGGTCCGGGGAGACCAGATATAGTGAATGCAGGGGTCCGGGGAGACCAGATATAGTGAATGCAGGGTCTGGGGTTTAGTTACACTTTAAAGTGCATGTCCAACCAAAATATTTTTCTGTAGTTTCGGATAGAACGGCTAAACATTACAACCCCTGCTGGGTTTTTACTGCTGTCTGAGACAATATTAGAGAAGGGAGGAGAAGGAACGTCTGTAACAAGGATGCAATGAAAAGCTCTAGAGCAGTAGGTTTTCTCAGTCAGTGATTGTAAAGTTATTATTTTTAAGTGTTTCTTAAAGGTGAAGGTTGCATTGCAATGCATTAAGGTACAAAAAAACCTGCATGCAGTTACCCCCCTCCCCCTTATACTTACCTAAACCCAACCTATATCCAGCAATGTGTATGAGAGCAGATGCTCTCTCTGCTCTCCCTCTTCATTGTCTCAGAGACAGCAGTGGGAGCCATTGGCATACCTCAACATACCTTAAAGTAAGAGTACCCCCACAGCAAGCCACTTCTTAGTGGGGCACTCATGTGGGCTTGATACCGAGCCGGGCTGTGTGCATCTGTAGACACACACAGTGCTGCTCCTCACTGGATTTGATTGACAGCAGCGAGAGCCAGTGAGGAGGGAGAGCAGAGAGAGGCTGCAGCCTCCATGCCCCATGAAGAGAAAGAAAGTGCCCGGCCTAGGTAAGTATTTGTGGCGGGGAGGGAGGAGCTGACCATGGGAGGTTTTTACCTTAATGCAGATAATACATTAACGTAGTTGTAAACGTCATACATGAAATATGAACAAAGCATATCCCGCTATAGTGTGGTTTCTCAATCCAGAGCACTAAGTGTCTTTACTGTCCACTGCTACATTCATCTGCTATCAGCTTTCCTGACACCAAGAGAAAACAGGTGACAGGGAAGGGACCTTGACAGCCTCATCTCTATTGTGAGCTGAGTGGAGGGGGGGTGGGGGGTGTCTCTTCTCACCAATCAGCTCCCAGAGCTCTCCTCACCGAGTTCTGCAGTGTGAGATTTCATCTCCCCGCCCCCTGTTTTCTGACAGCTCAGACAAGCTTTATAAATCCCTCACCCACATCTTTAATCTCTCCCTCTCTTCTGGCACATTCTCTTCCCCTCTGAAGCACGCGCACATCACTCCCATACTGAAAAAGCCCTCCCTGGACCCCAACGACCCGAACAACCTCAGACCCATCTCCCTGCTCCCATTCTCATCTAAACTCCTCGAGCGCTTCGTCTACAATCGCCTAAGCTCCTCGATCCCCTACAGTCCGGCTTCCATCCCCTACACTCCACTAAAACCGCCTTACTCAAACTCTCCAACGACCTTCTAACCGCCAAAGCTAATGGCCACTATTCAGTGCTCTACTCCTCAACCTCTCCGCTGCCTTCGACACAGTTGACCACCCCCTCCTCCTCAAACAACTACACTCTCTCGGCCTCAGAGATTCTGCTCTCTCCTGGCTCTCCTCCTACCTATCACGACACTCCTTCAGCATTACCTATAATGCTACCACCTCCTCCCCCTCTCTGTTGGGGTCCCTCAAGGCTCCGTCCTCGGGCCCCTACTTTTCTCCATCTACACCTCCTCCCTTGGCCAACTCATACACTCTCACGGCTTCAACTACCACCTCTATGCCGACGACACACAAATCTATCTCTCAACCCCCCACCTCACCCCCGCGGTCTCCGCCCGAATCACACACCTACTGAGCGACATATCAGACTGGATGTCGCTCCACTTCCTTAAACTGAACCTCTCCAAAACCAAGCTCCTAGTCTTCCCCCCAGCCCGAACACCACCCCCCACTGACTTCTCCATCACGTCCAACAATGCCTCTATCAGGCCCGCCCCGCAGGCAAGAGTACTTGGGGTCATTCTGGACTCCAACCTATCCTTCCAGCCCCAAGTCCAATTTTTAACAAACTCATGCAGACTCCACCTCCGCAACATCGCCAAAATCCGCACGTTCCTAACCCCAGAAACCACTAAACAGCTCATCCACTCCCTCATCATATCACGACTCGACTACTGCAACTCCCTCCTCACTGGCCTGCCTCGCCGCTGGCTATCCCCGCTTCAGTCGTTCCTGAATACGGCTGCCAGACTCATTCACCTTACCAACCACTCCATCTCCGCCACCCCCCTCTGCCAATCCCTCCACTGGCTTCCGATTGCACAACGGATCAAATTCAAAATCCTAACACTGACATACAAAGCCGTCCACCATACTGCCCCGAACTACATCACCGACCTAATATCCAAGTACCACCCAACATGCATACTCCGCTCCTCTCAAGACCTCCTTCTCTCTAGTTCCCTGGTCTCCTCCCCCCATGCCCACCTTCAGGATTTCTCCAGGACATCACCTATCCTCTGGAACTCCCTACCCTAATCCATTAGACTATCACCTACTCTCCTCTCATATTGGCGCACCCTGAAAACCCACAACTCTGGCACATTGACACTTGGGGTTCACAACTCTATCACATTGACACTTGGGGTTCACAACTCTGGCACATTGACGCTTGGGGTTCACAACTCTGGCACATTGACGCTTGGGGTTCACAACTCTGGCACATTGACACTTGGGGTTCACAACTCTGGGACATTGACGCTTGGGGTTCACAACTCTGGCACACTGAAACGGGGGTTCACAACTCTGGCACACTGAAACTGGGGTTCACAACTCTGGCACATTGACGCTTAGGGTTCACAACTCTGGCACATTGACACTTGGGGTTCACAACTCAGGCACAATGACACTTAGGGTTCACATGTACGAAACATTTATTATTGGGGTTCCATAACTATGACACACTGACATCCACTGCTTGATAAATATGCCCCTTGGGGTTCACAACTCTGGCACATTGACACTTGGGGTTCACAACTCTGGCACATTGACACTTGGGGTTCACAACTTTGGCACACTGAAACTGGGGTTCACAACTCTGGCACATTGACGCTTGGGGTTCACAACTCTGGCACATTGACGCTTGGGGTTCACAACTCAGGCACATTGACACTTGGGGTTCACATGTACGAAACATTTATTATTGGGGTTCCATAACTATGACACACTGCCATCCACTGCTTGATAAATATGTCCCTTGGGGTTCACAACTCTGGCACATTGACGCTTGGGGTTCACAACTCTGGCACATTGACACTTGGGGTTCACAACTCTGGGACATTGACGCTTGGGGTTCACAACTCTGGTTCATTGACGTGTTGGGTTCACAACTCTGGCACACTGACGTTTGGGGTTCACAACTCTGGCACATTGACGTGTGGGGTTCACAACTCTGGCTCATTGACGTGTTGGGTTCACAACTCTGGCACATTGACGCTTGGGGTTCACAACTCTGGCTCATTGACGCTTGGGGTTCACAACTCTGGCTCATTGACACTTGGGGTTCACAACTCTGGTTCATTGACATGTTGGGTTCACAACTCTGGCACACTGACGTTTGGGGTTCACAACTCTGGCACATTGACGTGTAGGGTTCACAACTCTGGCACATTGACGCTTGGGGTTCACAACTCTGGCACATTGACGTGTGGGGTTCATAACTCTGGCACATTGACGTGTAGGGTTCACAACTCTGGCACATTGACGTGTAGGGTTCATAACTCTGGCACATTGACGTGTGGGGTTCATAACTCTGGCACATTGACGTGTAGGGTTCATAACTCTGGCACATTGACGTGTGGGGTTCATAACTCTGGCACATTGACGCTTGGGGTTCACAACTCTGGCACATTGACGCTTTGGGGTTCACAACTATGGCACATTGACGACGCTTGGGGTTCACAACTCTGGCACATTGACGCTTGGGGTTCACAACTCTGGCACATTGACACTTGGGGTTCACAACTCTGGCACATTGACGCTTGGGGTTCACAACTCTGGCACATTGACACTTGGGGTTCACAACTCTGGCACATTGACGCTTGGGGTTCACAACTCAGGCACATTGACGCTTGGGGTTCACAACTCTGGCACATTGACGCTTCAGGTTCACAACTCTGGCACATTGACACTTGGGGTTCACAACTCTGGGACATTGACACTTGGGGTTCACAACTCTGGCACATTGACACTTGGGGTTCACAACTCTGGGACATTGACACTTGGGGTTCACAACTCTGGGACATTGACACCTGGGGTTCACAACTCTGGCACGTTGAAACATGGGGGTCGATTTGCTAAAACTGCGCGGTGCAAAATCTGGTGCAGCTCTGTATGGAAACCAATCGGCTTCCAGGTTTTATTGTCAAAGCTTATTTGAACAACCAGATCCTGAGTGCTCCAGTTTTAGTAAATCTCCTTCTGTGTATTTTCCTTGTTCCCAAACTAAGTCAAACCCCCCCCCCCCCACCTCTTCTTTTTTTAATTTTAAATTTATTTTTCAGCGGTATATTTTTAGCTTCAGAACTTTATTTTGTTTCATCGTGTTCATCCCTCTTGCTAGTTCCCACATATTTGATTTGTTTACAGCATTAGAACATTCTTTCCCATGCCCCCCCTTTCACTTCCTTCCTGCTGCTTTCCGCTCCCTCCGCGTCCCCTGCGACCTCCAGCCTAGGAGGTGTCCAAAGTAACCACATCTAGCGTCCCATCAGCCATCTTGCCTCAGTCTTGAAATTTTCCACAACCATTCAGTGGGGTTAATTTACTAAAGGCAAATAGACTGTGCAAACTGCAGCTGCTCCAGAGCTTAGTAAATGAGGTAAATCTTCACTTTGCAAAGAATACCTAATCGCGTGCAAGGGAAATAAAAAAAACAAACCGCATGTTTCCTCGCACGTGATTGGATGGTGGAAGTCTGCAGACCTTCTGCTCCTTTACTAAGCTCTGGAACAACAGCACCTTTAGTAAATCAACCCCATTGACTGGTTGTGGAAAATTTCAAGATAATAATAATTCAGCCCCTATATATCGATGAAAGAAGAATTCCAGGTATGGATATTTTTACATAGGGATATTGTTCCAGCTTGCACCAATGTATCCATGCATATACCATACCTGTGGAATCACTCTAGATGCTGGAAGTCTCTGTAATCAGCATCGCTGCTCCAGTGATCTCCACTAGCTCCTGGGTCCTGTTCTGATCAGCTGCCCTGCTGCATTCTGAACAAAGGAGGTCATCCGCTTGGCATGGACACCAGTCAGAGAATGCTTTGCAAAGCTTTCTCAGATTGGATGATGTGGAGAGCATGGCATCACCGAACCTCCTCATCTAATCAGTGAATGCTTTGCTTCCTCCTGTGTTCAAGATGCAGCAGGACGGCTGATCAGCACAGGACCCAGGAGCTAGTGAAGATCACTGGTAAAGTGTTGATTACAGGGATTTCCAGCTTCTAAAGCTCAAGAACAATCTTGAGGCACCCTTTAAAATCCTGCACAATCTTCAGGCACCCTTTAAAATCCTGCACGCTTGAGGCACCCTTTAAAGTCCTGCACAATCTTGAGAGACTCTTTAAAAACTGCACAATCTCCAGGCACCCTTTAAAGTCCTACATAATCTTGAAGGACCCTTTAAAATCCTACACAATCTTGAAGGAGCCTTTAAAATCCTACACAATCTCCAAGCACCCTTTAAAATCCTACACAATCTCCAAGCACCTTTTAAAACCCTGCACAATCTAGAGGCACCCTTTAAAATCCTGCATACACAATCTCAAGGCACTCTTTAAAATCCTGCACGATCTCGAGGCACCCTTTAAAATCCTGCATAATCTTGAGGCACCCTTTAAAATCCTGCACAAACTCAAGGCACTCTTTAAAATGCTGTAGGATTTTGAGGAACCATTCAAAATCTTGCACAATTTTGGGGCACCCTTTAAAATCCTGCACAATTTTGGGGCACCCTTTAAAATACTACACAATCTCAAGGCACTCTTTAAAATCCTGCACAATCTCCAGGCACCCTTTAAGATCCTGCACAATCTTGAGAGACTCTTTAAAAACTGCACAATCTCCAGGCACCCTTTAAAGTTCTACTTAATCTTGAAGGACCCTTTAAAATCCTGCACAATCTCAAGGCACCCTTTCAAATCCTACACAATCTCCAAGCACCCTTTAAAATCCTGCATAATCTTGAGTCACCCTTTAAAATCCTGCACTATCTCAAGGGACCCTTGGTGGAAGGAAAGAAAAATTGTATAGTCTGTGGGCTGCTTTAGTGTTTGTATGGATGGCCAGAGAGGGATCACGTTGGATTGTGTTGTAACAGAAATATTTTTGTCTTTGTCAGCAATGTGCAGGGAGACAGCCAGACCAGCATCTGCATCACTATAGAACCGGGGCTTCTACTGAAGGGCGACATCCTGGTGAGATAATGATCACTGCTCCCCATCTTGATTTCAATATTTGTCAAGTCTGTTATATAGCTTCACAACAAGGAGCTTTATATACATTTATACACAGAGTGTCAGAAGGAACAGGGAAGGAGCATTTCTAGTGTAGACGAGTACACTTTGGAACAGTTCAATCAGGTGTGGTACGACCAAACCTTTTTAAACGATTGCAAACCTCTGAAATTCAAAATTTGGGAACCGGAAATCCTAACCAGACTCCAAAAAGTGTGTATTACAAAACCGCAAATGCTGCAAAATTGTGTAGAATGTTTGGGAAGCTCCTGTTAGCCTGAGGAGATGATGGGCCAAAGAAGCAGCCTGAGCCACTTAAAAAATATCTTGGTATCACTAATACTAAGATATGGTGGGTCCCTGGTAGTACTAATACTAACACATAGGTGGGTTCCTGGTATCACTAATACTAAGATATGGGTGGGTTCCTGGTATCACTAATACTAAGATATGGTGGGTCCCTGGTAGTACTAATACTAAGACATAGGTGGGTTCCTGGTATAGCACTAATACTAAGATATGGGTGGGTCCCTGGTAGCACTAATACTAAGATATGGGTGGGTCCCTGGTAGCATTAATACTAAGATATGGGTGGGTCCCTGGTAGCACTATTACTTGAATATGGGTGGGTCTCTGGTAGCACTATTACTTGAATATGGATGGGTCTCTGGTAGCACTATTACTTGAATATGGGTGGGTCCCTGGTAGCACTAATACTAAGATATGGGTGGGTCCCTGGTAGCACTAATACTAAGATATGGGTGGGTCCCTGGTAGCACTAATACTAAGATATGGGTGGGTCTCTGGTAGCACTAATACTAATATATAGTTGGGTCTTTGAAGCAGCCATTGGACCCTTTCTTCTAGGAGCCTTTTGGAAACCTGAATCACCGAAAAAATTCACAATCAGATTTGGCCATCCAAATTTACTCTGAATCTAGCATCATCTGAAATTCAGGATCAACTCTAGTTTTTAGAAACCAACGAGATTCTTTCTTTCATATTTCTAGTTTGTTTCAGGAGAAGGAAAGGTAGACTCTATGGTTGCTATGAGAGAGTGTGCTTCACATTCTCTCCATCCTCTGTCCCAGAGTATCTATAGACATTTTATATACAGGGTTCTCCCAGTGTGTATTGCGCATCCTTGGCCAACCTTTAAATGTGTATTTTGTTTCTACAGCTGAAGTGTTACCACAAGAAGTTCCGAAGCCCGACACGGGACGTCATATTCCGGGTGCAGTTTCACACGTGTGCCATCCATGATCTTGGGATCGTGTTCGGAAAAGAAGATTTGGATGAAGCCTTTAAAGGTAGAATCAATTGAACATGTTATTGTTTGACTTTGGAACCTCCTGAAACCTTCTTTGTGCAAGCATACGTAAGACAAAGACCTGTGGTCGTGTGGTGGTGGTCCTCAGGGTTCGAGTGGAGTATAGCTGAGGGAGTAGGATAACAGCCCAGGGGACAACCCAGGGTATCTACCAAAAAAATAAGAGGAGAGGCGGAGGAGCCCTTATTGTGTAGTAAATGCGCAGTGTTAATAGTTACAATAACTAAGTACTCAGATTTGTAGCTAACATATGGTGAGGCTATTGAGTACAACACTCAAAATTCCTAATACACAAGTTGAGAATACTCTTGTCTCCTTTCAGGATAGGGCTGGTCACTCTCAGTGCCTTGGGGGTCCCAGTCCTAGGTCCTTGGGGGAGGGGGGCGGACTGTCCATTCGAGCACTCGCACACTGCCCTAGTGGCCCAGGGTCAGTAGGGGGCCCCTTAAGATGCCCCTGGTACATTTCATTGGCTTTTTCATAGGCTTTTTTTGGGTGTGGGCAAGGACACAGGGGCCACATGATCCCCTATTGCCTGGGGGCCCCATGAGTCGTCAGTCCGCTCCTGGTTGGTAGGGCACTGTATCCAAGGGTAGACAAAAGCATGCTTAAAATTCAACTCTTAGATGGGCAGCACAGTGGCTGAATGGTTAGCACTTCTGCCTGGCAGTACTCGGGTCATTGGTTCAAATCCCAACAACGGCACCACCTGCCTGGGGTTTGTATGTTCTCCCTGTGCCTGCGTGTGTTTCCTCCGGGTACTCCTGTTTCCTCCCACACTCCAAAGACATGCTGGGAGGTTAATTGGATCCTGTCTAAATTGGCCCTAGTAGTATGTGTATGTATGAATGTGAGTTAGGGACCTTAGATTGTACGCCCCTTGAGGGTTAGGGACTGATGTGAATGTACTATATATATGTAAAGCGCTGTGTAAATTGACAGCACTATATAAGTACCTGTAATAAATAAATGTGTGCTAAAACGCATTGTGCTGTGCGATTTCACAAGAGGGTCAGGGACTTCTTTCGCACGTTTCTCACATATATCAATTAACGAGCCACCCAACATGCGTTGCGTATGCTCACGCGGAAACACGTGTGCGTGTCGCTGCACCTGCATGGAGCCTAATGTCAGTATGGGATTGGAATTTGTTGGAGGGGGGGGGGGGTTGCGTCAGCCCGCTGTCATGCCATCATCGCTAAAATTACATTTTTGGGTGGGCTAATATTCTGTTTCATGATGCGATTTTACAAAGGGGTCAGTCTTTTGCACGTTTCTTATGTATATCAATCAACATGCTGCCCAACATGTGTTGCATGATCGTGCAGAAACATGCCCGTGTTCCGTTGCGCCTAGTATGTGTATGTATGAATGTTAGTTAGGGACCTTAGATTGTACGCCCCTTGAGGGTTAGGGACTGATGTGAATGTACTATAATGTATGTATTTGTATATGTGTATGTGTGTATATATATATATATATATATATTATATGTGTGTGTGTGTAAATTGACAGCGCTATATAAGTACCTGAAATAAATAAATAAATAAAATAATAGAGGCAGCTTTCTATCACCCGGGGGAATTTCTGGGGGTCCCTGGAGAATATACAAAGGATGAGATCGCCACAGATCTAGAGTGAGTCCAGTAAAGTTTTAATTTTCATGACAAGAATTCAGAATAAAAACCCAACACGTTTTCAGGGCTCGAAACTCCCTTCATCAGGGTTTGAGAGATGACATCATGATGATTCAGGCTGCCAGTCTTGTGTGACTGATCTGAGCATTTGTGGTTATCAAAATGTCTTTCTGTCTTTAGACACAGAGAGGCATACAAAAATCGTATACAGCGCCTAAAATAAAAATAAATGTAGTTATAATTACTGTGTTGAGAGCCATTCACAGTATTGCGATGTTTAATCAGTTGAGTCTTGAAAGAACTGCATCTTTGCCATTTTACTGGATACAAGGATAACTGGAGAAATGTATATATCATGTTACCTGGCAAGTGTAAATATTGCATTGTTTACAGTCAGGTTGTCTACAGTCTGCAAAATGCAGTGTACAGATCACAAGTCCCCAGAACAGACTGAAAAGAAGAAATGTATCAGAGATCCCTCTTGACATGCATATTTGCTTTTCACATTTTTGCACTGGCTGCCTTCCTCCAGCAGTTTGTGGTCTGTTTCTTCAGTGATTACATGAGAGCAGCGCAGTATAGAAATCAAAATTTCAATGAAGGCAATGGGGCTGATTTACTAAAGGAATAGAGACTGTTTATTGTGGAACGTGTATATATACACCTTATATGTAGATGAGCTGAAACTATGAGGTTGATGTACTAAAGGCAAATAGACCTGCAAGCGGAATTGCTCCAGAGCTTAGTAAATGAGGGGAAGCTTCACTTTGCAAAGAATACCCAATCATACGCAAGGAAAATTAATTAAAACCGAATTGTTGCTTGGACATGATTGGATGATGGAAGTCAGCAGGTTTCTGTTCATTTACTAAGCTCTGGAGCAACTGCTCTTTCAGAGTGCACCGTCTATTTTGACTTTAGTAAATCAACTCGTACGTTCACATTGATTAGCCAGTCATATACTGGGGACATAAAAAATGCATTTTTGCTTGCACATGATTACAGTAAGCTTAGTTTCAGTTTCAGTGAACATACACTTTACTAAGTAAACCGCCTCTATTCAGACAACCAGCACCGACCCAACTGTGTCGTGTGCAATCTGAACACTGGATTCTTTGGTGGCATGCCGGAGTTCAAAGCAAAGACAACTTAGCTCAGTATACTGTTACCCACACTCACCCTAGGTTCACATCTATGAGGGTGGTGCCGCTGCGGATCTGCACAAAAATCCGTGCAGCCGCACCACCCGCACAGAGAAATGCAGACCTGCGGGTGGGTGCCATTAGTTCTGATGGCACGCCGCCTGCACTGGAAAACACAACTGTACTGGGAACCGAGGTTCTCGTGCGGGCTGCGTTTTCCAAAGAAGTGCAAGGACTTCTTCCCTGCGCGTCATGGGCATGGGAATCCATTCAACTGAATGGGCTCTCGTGCCCATGCAAAATGCGGCCCGCACAGTCGCATAGATGTGAACCGGACGTAAGGAAACTATAATACCCAACAATTAAGCACTTGGGGAGTCCAAATGCCTAAAATTAAGAACATTTTTGTGACATGGATTTAAAAAAATGCATCTATTTTATTTACTTCTATAGCACCGTCAATTTACGCATATATATTGTACATTCACATTGGTCCCTAACCCTCAAGGGGCGTACAATCTGAAGTCCCTAACCTACAATTATACACATACATACTAGGGCCAATTTAGACAGGATCTAATTAACCTACCAGCATGTCTTTGGAATGTGGGAGGAACCCAGAGTACCCAGAGGAAACCCACGCAGCCACAGGGAGAACATGCAAACTCCAGGCACGGGCATGGGAATCCATTCAAATGAAGGGGCTCTCGTGCCCATGCAAAATGCGGCCCGCACAGTCGCATAGATGTGAACCGGAGGTAAGGAAACTATAATACCCAACAATTAAGCACTTGGGGAGTCCAAATGCCCAAACTTAAGAACATTTTTGTGACATGGATTTAAAAAAATGCATCTATTTTATTTTATTTATTTCTATAGCACCGTCAATTTACGCATATATATTATACATTCACACTGGTCCCTAACCCTCAAGGGGCGTACAATCTGAAGTCCCTAACCTACAATTATACACATACATACTAGGGCCAATTTAGACCGGATCCAATTAACCTACCAGCATGTCTTTGGAATGTGGGAGGAACCCGGAGTACCCGGAGGAAACCCACGCAGCCACAGGGAGAACATGCAAACTCCAGGCAGGTGGTGCCGTGGTTATTAATGCTTCATCTCAACAACGTATGTGAGAAAATGGAGTGCACCGTTCCTCTGTCCCTTTGGTGAAGCTTCACTTGGATGAATGCCACCAAATGTCCCTTCCCATCTCTCTAATAGCACCACACAATGAGAAAAGCGATATGGTATATTGGGTGCTGACATGAAAATAGGCTCCCGTCCTTTACTTCAGTCATTAGCACCTGTCCCTGTGACATGGATAGGGTTTAACATGAAGCCATCAGCCCGCGACCTTTGACCTGCAACCAATATTAGCTCTGTAGTTGCATTCAGCAGCAATCCTTCATTCTCCCACAGGACCTCACGTGAAAGGCCCGTCCCTTTTAAGTTTAATGCTTCATCCATACCGGACGGCAGAAACGCTGATTGCTTCCACACCACCGGTCTTACTGCTGAGTTTACTGGTAGATACCGGAGCTGATGCAGAAATATCAATATTGGTGCAGACAGCGGACAGAGGAGGCGACTGCAAAACACCATGATGATAACCTGTATATTGGCTGCAATGTCAAATCTGATACAAAAAAAAAAGTAGTAATTAAAAAAAAAAAAAAAATTATATATATATATATATATATATATATATATATATATATATATATATATATATATATATATATATTATATATATATTATATATATTATATATATATATATATATATATATATATATATATATATATATATATATATATATATATATATATATATATATATATATATATATATTTAAAAATAATAAAATATATATTTATAATAAATATATATGCAAATTTCATATAATACAAATATCTGTATAAATTATTTGCACCTTCTTGCCTCTGCAAAGTAGCAGGTGCGACTTCTATATTTTCATTTTTATTTTCTGTAATAGTGAACAAAAAATTCCTAACTCACTCATTCAAGCAGAAACATTCCACGCCAAAAGCACTAAAAATAATTTGGTCAGAAGCTAGGTCACGCCAGGATGTTAGGACTGGAAGAGCGAGGCAAGGTATACAATTACATGCAAATAATGCTCCTAATGCAGTTTAAATCAGGACCCCTGAGGCAGCAACACAAGCGTGCTGCTAATTCATCTTGTTGTCATACCCTTGGGAAATGTATGGTGTATGTGTGTGCGCACGCTTGCGCATATGTAGACCCCTAACCCTATGGCTACGTTTAGATGCAAGATTGCTGCAGCTCTGAAATGCAATCCATATTCCAATCACTTTTCAGTTGCGTTAGACTCCGTAAGTGTCGCACCAACGTGCCTTGGAGGTGTTTGCAGCACATCCCAATTTGCTTGAATGGGTCGCGATCAGCAGTTACTGTCCAACGATCACAAAAAGAGCAAAAGCCCTACCGTTACGACCAGGGCATGTGCACACCCCTATCCGCTGCCTTTGCAGGTTATGGGGGGAAGCTAAAAACGCAACTCAATTGTGTGTTTTTAATGCACCCCAACTGGCCAGTCTAGCCAAGCCCTTAAAGTGATATTACAATCTGATTTCTAAAAAAAAAAAAATATTAAACATGTTATACTTACCTGCTCTGTACAATGGTTTTTCACAGAGCAGCTCTGATCCTTCTCTTCTTGTGTCCCCCGTTGGTGTTCCTGGCCATTTCCTTCTGCAGAGTGCCCCCATAGCAAGCAGCTTACTATGGGGGCACCTGAGCAGGCTCGCTTCCCAGCTACTGTTCTGTCTGTCCATTCAGACATGGAGAGTGTCTCAGCACCGCCCCCGCTCTCTCCTCATTGGCTCACTGGCTGTGATTGACAGTAGAAGGAACCAGTGTCTCCCGATGCTGTCTCAGCAAATGAGGAGGGAAAGTCCCTGGAGAGCTGAGGCTCGTCGCTGGATTGAGATGGGGCTAAGGTAAGTATAAGGAGAGCTGCTGCGCATAGATGATTTTTTTTTTTTTATCTTCATGAATAGAATGCATGAAAGTAAAAAACCTTGAGCCTTTGCAACCACTTTAATATATACATATAAATAGTAACTTTTGTATGTCAACATGTTGTATTTTACATTCTCAGCCAGCAGGTGGCACTTTAGAACCCGTGTCACATGTTTCTTTGGAGAAAGCCAGCTGTTTACAGAGATCAGTAGCTAATGCCAATGGACTTGACATACCTTTACCAGGCCATTCAAATAAAATAAAAAAAAAGTTTTTAAAATTGTTTATTTTCACTAATGACCAAAAATAAGCGACCCCCTTGTTGTAAAGTTAAAGACCTGATTAATTCTACCAAAATTTGTAGTAAAGATAAAATAACATTTTTATGGTAAATATGGTTCGTTAGGAATTTTTATTTCTAATATTCACTCCCATAACATTTCTTCCAAGACAATCAGAGCTATGTTTTTTAATTTTTCCCTAGATGAGAGGTTCCCGGAGTATGGAAAAGTGGAATTCGTTTTCTCGTACGGTCCTGAGAAGATACAAGGTAACCATCAATTCTAATCTTCTTTTCCTGGTGAATGTGCAGAAAGGTGAAGCGATCTACTTCAAACGATGGTACAATAACCATGCAGCTCACATTGGCAGACCATACATTATACAATTTTCTTGTACAATTTCTCTTTAGATTTACTGAAACCATATAATATGAGGTCAAAACTAAACACTTTCAATTGGTATGCAATCAGGCAGGCCCTTGCACTACATAGTTGAATCTAAAGGAAATTGAACAAGAAAATTGTATAATGTAGCCGGCTATAATCTGATTGTACAATCTTCTTTAGATCTTCCAATAATTGTGTAGTGTTAGGTCCTGTGCATTGGTGGGAAGCGAATACATTGTTTAGGTTTGCCTTCTTATCACTCCTTATCAGAGTGCACCTCTGCGATGCCAACACTGGGCCGTATTTGTCCGGACCTTGCTCCGCTTCCAGGAGTTGGACATTGGCAGCCTCCAGCATTGGATTTCTGCTGTGGCCGGGCAACAACTGTCCTGATTTGTAGCATAGTGTGAACGAAACCTTAAGCATTCAATATATGAGGGGTTCTATATATATACCGTACTCTGACCATAATATATACTGTATGTGGAGCCCTCTGCAAATAAGGGGCTTTCTACTCTATATCTCTCTCTCTATATATATATATATATATATATATATATATGGGTTCCTCTCTCTCTATAGTGTGTAAGTGTGTATATATGTTTGTGTACATACATATATATATATATATATATACATATATATATATATATTTATTTATTTATTTATATTTTATATTGCATGTGGGTGTCTCTTTTATAGTGAACCTTCTATATATGGGGACCCTCTATTTACACTGTATGTGGAGCCCTCTATATATGGGGGTTCTTCTATAAAGAAGGAGCCCTCTATATATACTGTATGTGGAGCCCTCTATATATATGAGGGGGCTTCTATATATACTGTACACGGCCCTCAATTGTGTATGTGGAGCCCTCTACAAATAAGGGGCCTTGTACTGTACATATACTGTCTGTATGTGGTTCCTTCTAAATAAAAGCTTTCTACTCTCTATATACTGTACTGTATGCTGAACCCTTTATATATGGGGCCCTCTATATATACTGTATGTAGAGCCCTCTATATATGGGGGGGTCTTCTATAAATAAGGGGCCCTCTATATATACTGTATGTGGAGCCCTCTATATATGGGGGGGGGGGTCTTCTATAAATAAGGTGCCCTCTATATATACTGTATGTGGAGCCCTTTATATATGAGGGGGCTTCTATATATACTGTACACACTCAATAGTGTATGTGGAGCCCTCTAAAAAAAAAGGGGGCCTTGTACTGTACATACACTGTATGTGGATCCTTCTAAATAAAAGCTTTCAACTCTCTATATACTGTATGCTGAACCCTTTTATATATGGGGGCCCTTCTGTCTTCTATAAATAAGGGGCCCTCTATATGTACTGTATGTAGCCCTCTATAAGGAGCCCTCTATATATACTGGGGGGGGGGCCCTTTATAATATAGGGGAGCTTCTATATATATGGTGTCTTCTGTAAATGTGGGGCTCTCTATATATACTGTATGGGTCTTCTGTATATACTGTGTCTTCTATAAATAAGGGCCCTCTATATATACTGTATGTGGATCCCTCTATATATGGGGGGGGGGGTCTTCTATAATAAGGAGCCCTCTATATATACTGTATGTAGAGCCCTTTATATATGAGGGATCTTTTATATATCTATGGTGTCTTCTATAAATAAGGGGCCCTCTATATGTACTGTATGTGGAGAGCCCCTCTTTATATGTGGGGGGGGGCATCTTCTATAAATAAGGAGCCCTCTATATATACTGTATGTGGAGTCCTCTATATATGAGGGAGCTTCTATATATACTGTACATGGCCCTCAATAGTGTATGTGGATCCTTCTATAAATAAGGGGCCTTGTACTGTACATATACTATATGTGGAGCCTTCTAAATAAAAGCTTTCAACTCTTTATATACTGTATGCTGAACCCTTTATATATGGGGGCCCTCTATATATACTGTATGTGGAGCCCTATATATGAGGGATCTTCTATATATATGGGTCTTCTATAAATAAGGGACCCTATATATACTGGGGTCTTCTACATATAAGGTGTCTTCTATAATATATATATATATATATATATATATATATATATATATATATATATTGTATGTGGAACCCTCTATATATGGTTTCATATATGTGTGTATGTATGTGTGTACACTCTGTATAAGTATCTATATATATATTTACTATATGTGCGGGTCCCTATTATACTGTATGCTGAATCCTCTGTATGAGGGACCCTCTATTTAAATTGTATGGTGAGCCCTGTATATACACAAGGCCTTCTGTATGTACTGTATATAATTTAAATTAATAAATATATATATATATAATCTCCTTTATGGCGCCTGTGGGACCCTTGGTTAAATGAGGGGCCCCGGTGACTGTCTGGTATCAGGTGGGAGTAAAGAAAGTTTGGAGTGGCAGAAACTTTGTTTGCCTTTTGATTTGTGACATCTGGAAAGGGACGGTAATCTATTAGCGAGTGAAACCTGCACCTCTCCCGTACTCTGCGCATTCTTTCCAGTCAAGCAGAAAAGCGTAAACAAAAGAAGGTTTTGAACTTGATTTAGTACAATATGTCTGTTATGTTACATTCACTAGACCACACAGGCTATCGCACCTCAGATGGAACATCCTGCGGACTGGGAATTGGCCCAGTTTGAACTGGGATCGGACCGTGTTTCTATAGCGATAAAGTAAAAACACATGGTGTATTGTTTTCTAGTATCGCTACAGGCTGCCAGTGAAGGGGCAAGCTTCGCACTGCTACATTTCACAAAGCACTAGTGAAAACAGAACAGGTTCTCTTCGTATCTCTGTATCTAGATAGTTCGTGAGCTTTAATAACCTCTTCCTGTTGCAGGAATGGAGCACTTGGAAAATGGCCCCAGCGTCTCCGTCGACTACAACACTTCCGATCCACTGATCCGTTGGGATTCTTATGATAACTTTAATGCACATCGAGAGGACAGTCTGGAAGGTAGGAGGTCTTTCTCTAAATATTGGCTATGCATGCAAAGATACGTGGTGCTGTACGTTTGTTTTATAAGGCCAAGGTATGTGGACCCCCCTCCAAATGACTGAATTCAGGTGTTTTCATTGAAGGGTACAGCATACAAATTCATTTTAGACAACTGTGCTCTTCCGACCTTGTTGTAACAGTTTGGTGAAGACCCTTTTCTGTTCCACCATGACTGTGCCCCTGTGTACAAAGTCAGTTCCATAAAGACATGGTTTGATAAGTTTGATGTGGTGGTTCTTGAGTGGTCCTGCACAGCGCCCTGGCCTCAACCCTACTGAACACCTTAGAGAATAACTGGAAGGAACCAGGTCTTCTCATCCAACACCTCCTTAAAGACATGGTTTGACCAGTTTGGTGTGCAGTAACTGGAGTGTCCTTCATAGATCCTGACCTCAACCTTACTAAACACATATGAGATGAATTGAAGCGGGCCAGCTCTTCTCAACCAACATCTCCACAAAGACTGGGTTGGAGGAGTTTGGATGGAGGAACTTAAGTGGCCTGCACAGAGCCCTGACCTCAACCCTACTGAACACCTTAGAGAATAACTGGCAGGAACCAGGTCTTCTCATCCAGCACCTCCTTAAAGACATGGTTTGACCAGTTTGGTGTGCAGTAACTGGGGTGTCCTTCATAGATCCGTGACCTCAACCTTACTAAACACATTTGAGATGAATTGAATCGGGCCAGGTCTTCTCAACCAACATCTCCACAAAGACCGGGTTGGAGGAGTTTGGATGGAGGAACTTAAGTGGCCTGCACAGAGCCCTGACCTCAACCCTACTGAACATTTTTGGGAAAATGTGCAAGGCCATTTAAAAGCCAGGTCCTCTCATCCAACATCAGTATCTGACCTCAAAAATGCTCTTTTGGCTGAATGGGCACACATTTCCACAGACACACCCCATAATAATCTTGTGGAAAGCCTTCCCAGAAAAATAGAGGGTCCACAAAGGGGGGGGGGGGGGGGGGTAACTCCATATTCATGTCTATGGTCTTGGAATGGGATGTCCAGCAAGCTCATAGAAGTGTGATGGCTGGGTGTTCACAAACTTTTGGCCATATATCTGGAGATGAAGGGTAGCATCCCTTTAACAAAGCTTTATTAAGTAACCTATAAAGACAACGTGAAAATCTTTTCCAACTGGAACAATGTATGTTTATTTTTATACTTGCTTGTAAACGGTGTTTATGGTTGTTTTGCTTGGATGCTGCCGTGACAAAGACTCATATGGAAAGTATTCACTGTGCTTCACTATGTCTGATTATTCGCAGGTGTATTTTGCCCATAGTTCTCTGCAGCGTAGCCCAGTAAATGCATTACACAAAGAGCTTTAGGGACTGAGAAAAGAATTTAAAAAGCTTTATCCTTTGAAGGATTGTGTCAATAGGGTAAGGCAGTGTGCATTCAACTTTCATTTCAGATGCTTCGGAGTTCCTCTTCTGCTCTTTTGAGTAGATTTTGCATTCCCATAGACAAAGCTGTTTAGATTATTGCAAAATGAGGAAATATCGTGGCCTGGCAGTGGGGAAAGCAAAAAGAATTTTGGGGTGCATCAGTAAAGGAATACTCAGCAGTAGGAAGGAAGTCCTGGTTTCTCTATATAGATCTTTAGTTATCACTGGTGGGATCATTAGCAGGAGGAAGGAGGTCCTGATTCCTTCATATAGATTCCTCTATATAGCCATTCTGAACCTTCATTCCAGGCGCCTGCATAATTCCAGGTTCAACACCACTTGGCAGAGCCAACAACATGCTGCAAGTGATATTTTTAGCTATCTGTAAGGTGGAATTTGTCTTACTGGACACCAATGTCATTAGAGGGATCCCCAGTAGGTGGAA